ATCTACGATAATTAAAGCATTAAGATGAAGACACTACTAGGTGCACAAAATTCATGGGATATCATTGAGAAGGGCTATAACGAGCCATATGATATTGCCCTATCCCAAACTCAGAGAAAAAGATTGAAAGTTTTAAGGAAAAAAATGTACAAAAAGGCTCTCTTTATCATTTTTCAATCTTTTAAGCATTGGATGAAGATGTGCGAGTTTGAGAAAATCGCAAATGCAACTACAATAAAAGAGAATCGGAGATGATTCAAACTTGCGAGTAGAGTAAGTTAAAATGATTCTTATTCAAACTCTTTGAGGTGAGTTTTAATTTTGTTTATGGAGGAATTTACATCAATTTTAGAATATTTTTCTTGAACATTGATTGTTTCCAATAAGTTAAAAAAAATGATGAGATGCGAGGGAAGTAAATTTTATGTAAAATAAATTATTTGCATTTTAAATCTTAATTTTGATTATATTGTTGATATTATTGAAAAAACTAAAGATTTAAAAACTAAGGGCATTGAGTAATTATTTAGAAGAAGAAAAAAAAATAAGGGACAATGATCAACTTATTTAGTTAAATTTAAAAGAAGAAAGTTTTGACAAAGATAAATACCAAATAAAAAGTAGATGTAGTCATGAATAAGGAAGAGAGGAAAGAAGTGCATAAAAAGTAATTCTAACAGTATCAATTGTGTAGATAGAAGTAAAAAAATTAACAAATATCAATAAGTCGTGGAAGAGGAAATTTATAATCAAAACATGGCAAATCAAAGAGAGGAAAGAAGTGCATAAAAAGTAATTCTAAGAGTATCAATTGTGTAGATAGAAGTAAAAATTAACAAATATCAATAAGTCATGGAAGAGGAAATTTATAATCAAAACATGGCAAATCACATATTAAAGATTCTAATGATAAAAAATCTATCCATTATGATGTCCAAGTCAAAAAAGGTGGAGGAGAAAGCCAACATTTTAGAAGATTATAATAAATAATAAAGAAGAATGAACTTTATTGTTAGCATGCAAAGACAAAGATAAATATTAAAAAAAATAGATGTTGTATAATAAAGAAAAGACAAAGATAAATATTAAAAAAAATAGATGTTGCCTTGATGTTAGTGCAAACAATCACACCTAAGGAGAAAAAAATATGTTCATGAAGCTTGATGAAGCAATAAGGAGAAACATGTCATTTGAAGATGAATTGCAAATATTGGTAGAAGATAAATGTAAATTTCATATAAACTTGAAAGGTGAAGACCGTAAATTCAACTACTCAAACATTTATTATGAACCTAATATGAAGAATAATACTTTGAATTGGGTCAATTATTACGATATGACATTCACTTAACATAAAATATTTTTTTCTTAAGAGATGATAGAGAGAATTTGATTGTTAAATTTTCTATATTAAAAAATAAAATGTTTCTTTTTTATACTCATTTTGAGATTGTAAAGTGTTTAGAAACTTATTATAGCAATTCATAATGGTTATGACATCTATGATATGAACATCACAATTTTGGTAGTCTTAGACGTCTATTAATGTAAGATCGTGAGAGGCTTATCTTACATCAATTAACCTGAACTACTTTGTGAAAGTTGTTTTCTTGGAAAGCTACTTGAGCTCATAAACATCGATATTTATGACCCTACAAAACTTATGTTTTTTTTATCTCTGAGGCCCCAACTTACAGCAATTTCTGTTTGATATCTAAAATTTATCTAACATCAAATAGCTCCCTCATAGTACCATCATACATTTTGATAAAGATGTTGCTTACAACAATGGAATGACAAGATTGATCATTGTGCATAGTCACTGCACCACTTTTCAGCTTTTGTAAGTATAAGACCATTCTCAATGGGGACAAATGTGATGATAGAGTCTTTGCCTAGAATCCAATATGGATCATCTATATACAAACTATGAAAAATTATAGATAACAATACATATGAATCCACCTCGTCACTTCTCTCCATAATAAAATTGTCTTTTGCCTTAGAGAAAACTCTCTTTCTTTTTTCCTTCAACTTTGGAAATATTTTCTTCCGATTACTAGTCTCTAAATACAAAGCATACTAATTTTTTTTAACACTTCGCCTACTAGAGTTGTCACACTTTTTGAGAAGTATTATTAATGTCATCTTTCTTTGTCTAATTATTCTTCTTCTCAGATCTATCATGTTGGAGTATAAGTGTCTCAATGGATTCTATCTTTGCAAACTATTGACCCTTCAACGGAACTCATGGTTCAATAAAACCATAATCACCTCGCCAAAATCTAATGCCACATTTCTATAAATGAGTGTCATTATGAAGTTTTTGTACACATATTGTGTTTTTATTACATCATTTATCTCATTTTTAAATAAATTTATCATTTATTACTTTATTCATTGTACCTATTTTTAGAACCTTATGATCAATGCATTTTTTATATATTCTGTTTTTTATTTTAAAAATGACTCAATTTTCAAGACACTTAAAACATCTAAAAAATTATTTTGAGAATTTTTAAAAACAGTTAAAAATGTTATAAGATCTCAAACATATTTTATTTAAAATAAATATAAATACAAAATAAAAATTAAAAACTAAAAGTCACCTCTGATGTCTGATTAGTTGTTGTATTTTGTCAATGAGACCAGATGAGAAGCCAGCTTTCTTTCTTGGCCATGGATGACGACAGTAAGAAAAGTAAAATAAGATTACTGCGGCTATATATGAAAAAGCTTTGCTTCCTATGTGTGCGAGTTTTTATAGGTCTAATTGATTCGACTTGGCTTTGGATCACAGCCAAAGAGCAGGGGTAGGCATGAAATTGGTTACCTATGCTCACATTAGCACTGATTGATTGGCTGTCATCATAATCCAACTGGTACGTTTTGATTTTAGGTCCGACAATTTGTTTGGCATTCGCATACATAGCATCCAATTCTAATGTATTTATTGTATATTGATCAGCTATAGCCCAGATATTTAAAATGAGAGAATATAATCACATTAACTTAAATTCACATCTTTGGAAGACTTATGTTTATAACTAATAGAATTAATCAATTATAATCTCTCGTAACAAAATTTAAAAGCTACAACTAAAGACAAACTACAAACAAACTACTAAATAGTGATAAGAAAAACCTTGGCTGCGAATCTCATCTTATGGATCTTATCCACACATAGGTTATAAATGTGTCGAGTTGAGCTCAAGCTTGAGCATGTGTTGAAATTTTAGGTGGCTTGTTTATTATAAAGGGGAAAAATAACATAAATCTAAGCTAGAGTTACAATAAAATGACAAATAATATATACATAACACACACTAATTTAAAGATTGTATTAAATTTTAATATATTTTTTACTATTATTTATATAAATATTTTATTTAGCAAGCCGGCTCAATCATGAGCGAATGAGTAAAGAAACTGGCTTGAGCTTAGTTTGTTAGTTCATAGAGCTCCGTTCTCGACCACCTACCGAGTTGAGCCCTAACTAACTAACATGTCAGCTTGGCTGAGTTGCCCCACCATCTACACCTAAGTGGATACCAAATAATCCACTTCACGCATCCAACAATCATTTTTCTGTAATAAATAAATGACAATTTTTATATGGACATTATTTTTAAATACTAAAAAATATTTTACTTTTTGATAAACATAGTTTATGCAACAATAAATATAATAAATTCTGTTATTTAATTTGATGCACTAGAAATTAATAGAGACTTTTTAAACTTATAAATACTTTCAAAATATCTCAAAAGTAATGGTTTCATTTTTCGCTTATTTAAAACGAATATTCTAACTACAATATTTTATAACCATTTTCTCATACGTAATCTAATATTGTTTGAATATATTGGCTGAAAATAAAGTAAAAAAAAATTAAAAATATTAAATTCGACGCTTCGAGCGCTCAGCTTTGCCAAAATTAAAGTTAAAGGTAAGAAAATCCCACTTCAAATTCTTCATACAAATCAATCCAATGCACAGGGACAAAATCACCCCATTCAATTCATCATTCACAAACAGGGGCTTTAGACATTGTACCCCTCCAATGAATTTCACAAATGTGAATAAAGAATATACATATTTATATATTTATATTTTTGGGACATTTACATACATAGCCATAGTTGTTTTATAAATGCATAAGAACTGTGTGCTATATTTATAAATTTCTCTTATATTGATTTTTTATGGGACAATTCTTATGCATTTATTTATCATCTCGCACTTAAACTTTCATTCTTACAAACCAAGCAACTAATTCTTTCCAATCATATCAAAAACAGCCTTAATTGCACTTTTTCACACTAAAATCCATCTTTTGCATATTTCCCCTATAGTTTAGGGGCGAAAACATAAATACGAAAGAATGGGGGGCGAAGTTATAAGATCAATTCAGAAACATACACGGGCCCATTCTCAAAAAAAGCACCGGCCAATTGCAAAGCCAACGCCGGCGATCCCCACGCAGACCGCGAGAGCTAACCACCGAGCAATCTCCACGGGACCATCATCCTCATCGTCGTCGTCGGCCTGCGACAGCCTCTTCCTGAGCGCGGCGACTTCGAACTCGAGCATCATCGCCCACCGCCTGTGCACCGAAAGCCTCATCGATTCATCTAAGAGCATGGAGGCCAATTGGGCGCTCTTCGCTGTGGCGAGCTCGACGCGCTTCTCGGCTTCCCTCGCCCTCGACTGCGAGAGGCGTAGAGCCCTCAGCACGCCGTGGTTGTCGTCGTCGAAGAAGAAAGGGGAGAAGAGTTGGAGGGGAGGAGGGAGGTCGCAGTTGGTGAGGAGGTTTGGGGAGCGATCGGAGAAGTGGTTTTTGGGCTTAGGAGTGGGGAAATCCATGAGGAGGAACTGAGAGAGTTGGAGAGAAGGATGGGAGATAGTTGGGGTTAGGGGGGGGTTGGAGAAAGCGTGCGGCAAGGTGCTGGTTTTTTTATATTAATTGCTTCCGCGTGGATGCAAAGTATCTGTTTTAGTGAGGAATAAGAATCATTCCCTTCGTGTGATTCGTGGAGAGAATTTGTGCCAAGATTTTCGAATGTCCATTTTCTTGATCAAGATAAAATGATGTTGCTTCCGCGTGGATGCAAAGTATCTGTTTTAGCGAGGAATAAGAAGCATTCCCTTCGTGTGAATCGTGGAGAGAATTTGTGCCAAGATATTCGAATGTCCATTTTCTTGATCAAGATAAAATGATAAAATAATAAAATTTATGAAGTAAATGTTTTAATTAGTGATGGATAATTTTTAATTAACATTAATAACAGAGAAATTAAGAGAAAAATAAAAGGGATAGTGGCACCCACAACTATAAAACCTATTAATTTTTTATTTGGGGCATGTATATACTTTGCACATAATTCTTATATATTTACATATCTCACACATAATTTTTCATATTTACACATATAACATGATGTAGGAGCGTCTCACTAAAGTCACGGATCAGAGATTTGTGGCTTCTGATCATTAAAATTCTGCAATGATTATTCACATTAAGACTCCACAGAATGGGCGACTGAAGATCATTGAAGAAGATCAAATGATGTTAGTCGATTGAATCTCGGTCAATTGAATGAACTCCAAGCAACCAAATTGGACAGTTACGAATGCAGAGCAGTGTTCAAGGTAGTTACCGAAGCATAACAACGCTAGCATCGATTATGGGGTCGGGATGAATGACATTCAATTACAAATGTGCAAATGTAACAACTTATTAATTATAGTAATGTTCCCCTCTTTAATAGAATACAACCATGTAACTTTCAAATTCTACATATAAATTATATATAGGAGGATCATTTTCAAGAAATGGATGAGAGGAATTCACGCTAAAAATATAAAGTGCTCAAATATTCTTCTCTCTTCTTTCATTCGACTAACACTCTATTCCTTAGTCGTGATCCACAGAACAATTTAGAATCCACATCCTAAAATGTGCGGTGAGTGTGGAGGAAGGTCACCTCCACCTCCAACTCCACATAAAAATCGAGAAGATGCTAACATGTTGCGCTAACCCGCAAACTTCTCGTGAGTATGTATGCAATATACAGACTCGTTCTCCCCCTTTTATAGAAGGAAAGGTCAATATTTTTAACGGGATTCTTCCTACAAAAGCTTGTAGATGTCCCATCATGATAAGACTCAACAACTAAAACTGGCTCATCATTAAAGTTGGCCCACCAGAGATCACCAGATGGAAATGAGGCTGCTTGTCAAATACAACAATCTTTAAAGGTCTTTTCGACACTCCAAAAACCTGACCAAATCGAACGACATTCGACGTTCATTTTCAATACTCAAGGAACTCGAACGCATCGAGCAAAAATGTATGCATCGAAATCAACCAACTGTAATGTTGATGGGTTGATCGATAAATCATGAACCTTTGAGTCACAAATCCATCTTTCAATTTTGAGAAGGTTTAGTTTTAGGAGATGATTTCCTGCTCACTAGCGATAAGATCAACAAAATAGTAGTATGAATCATCCCGCAAATATGTACTGGTGGTTACCCATATTGATAATGACAATATCCATACCAAGTGATAAAAGTAAACTGACCGAGGCATAATTTTAATCGATTAAACATGCCAGGGTTAATCTCTAGTAAGGCTTGTAAGGAATAGTCGATTGAAATATTAAACAATCAATCATTTTATTTCTTTTAAAAAATGTTGGTAATCTGTTAAATAAAAGGAAAGAAATACTCGGGGAGCTCGAGTGTTCTACAAAATGACGACAAAAAAGTGCTAAGACGCTTAGTCACACCAAAGACAATCAAAAACTGTTACGGTGCATGGTCTTCCTAAAGATGACCAAAATGTGTTACGACACTTGGTCGCACCAAAGACAACAGGAAAGCATTACGATGTTTGGTCTCCTTAAAATAAAAAAGCGTTATGATGCTTGTTCGCACCGTATGTTTCCGTTCTTTTTTCTTTTTATTTTTGAACAAGTCGTGAGTTTGTCCATTATCATATATTTCTCATTTCCGAAAAAATCACTTTTCCGGATCATATGAATAATCAGGAAAAGGGAGGAACCGAAAAAATAGGACATACGACAAAAGCAGACACACAAGAGAAAAAATATGGAGAACTTTCATGTGACAAACCTCTCGAGAATAGGTCAAGCATGTATGTCCAAACAAGATCAGATCAAAATAGCTAGTGCCAAATATCCTGAATGAATGACTATGAAACTTCCCACAACCATAGATTCAGGTGCATTTGCCTGTTTTGGGATTTAGAGTGCTCCCAAGGAGATGTATCTCGTTTGGTTAATTATATCTTGGGGGTTGCCCAAGATTACTCTTGGTTCAATAAGTTCTGCCTACAAATAAGTGACGACTAGCAAGGTTTATCAAAGGATGGTTACTTTGATAGGAAACATGCCAAAGCTTTCTAAGCTCCCGCTAAGCCACAGGGCAGAGAGTAAGTCTCTCACGGTCTCAAATGGTTAACGACTCATAGATAATCACGACTCATGAAACAACTAGGGCATCTAGTAGGAAACATCTCATTGGTAGGAAACATCTCACTAATTTAAAGCCAAACTGGGTCATGAGGGCAGAGGACAAATCATTATATCCCAAACAGGTAGTGACCTATCAGCTAAGTGAGGCTCACCAAACAACATCGACGAAAAGTCAACAAAGTGACAGGGCTCAACAACGGTAGTCAATGGAAGGAAGAAGTAATCCCTAAACAGATAGAGGTAGTTGGGTCGGGGCACAACAAACATATCATCCCAAGCTACTAGGACCCTAAGTGTACCCAGTATACCCAGTCGTGAAGGTAATCGACCCAAAACATCCAGAGATCCCCGTTCAGCAATTCATGAATTGGGTCGTCCGCGGGGATCTCAGTAGCACTAAGATTAAAGAAGCAAAACTCTATTCTATGACTATCAGGTGGAGCTCCAATAGGTGAGACATATACTTGTCGAACTGGTGAGGAAAGAAGAGAAATGGAGATCCAGCTACAAAGCTCAAAATACTCCCAATGAAAGGTCTTACACCCAATCTGGTTCGTTGAGCCTTCTAGCGACCTATGCATTCTAGAAGACCTATCATGTAAGAAGATATGTCAGGCTAGGTATGGAGGCGTACGAGGACTCCTCTTTTGGTGTATGCAAGTGATGCAGTTATCTAGAGCTGTCATTAGATTTTGTGGAGGCCCTATTAGACATGATGGGGTGTATAGCTAGCATGCAATCCATTTAAAATCTAGCATGAAGGCCATGCAAGAAAATAAAGGAAAGTTTTAAAAATTTTGACAATTTTAATCCTAAATTTTTTATTATCTCAATCTTTTATTATTAAGATTTTTTAAAGATTTAACATTTTAGGTTCTAGGGAGCCAAAGTTATATTTAGCAATATCCTAGAAAAACCAGCAATAAGAAACGCTAAAAAGAAAGGGAACAACCTCAAATATGCAAACATGCAATAGAAAGTAAAAACATGCATATATATATATACAACCATGTAACTTTCAAATTCTACATATAAACTATATATAGGAGGATCATTTTCAAGAAATGGACGAGAGAGAATTCACGCTAAAAATATAAAGTGTTCAAATCTTCTTCTCTCTTCTTTCATTCGACTAACACTCTATTCCTTAGTCGTGATCCGCAGAACAATTTAGGATCCATCATCCTAAAATGTGCGGTGAGTGTGGAGGAAGGTCACCTCCACTCATGTGAAACCTAGGATGACCCGCAAACTTCTCGTGAGTATGTATCATACATACTCGTTCTCCCCCTTTTATAGAAGAAAGGTCAATATGTTTAACGGGATTCTTCCTACAAAAGATTGTAGATGTCCCATCATGACAAGACTTAACAACTAAAGCTGGATCATCATTAAAGCTGGCCCACCAGAGATCACCCGATGGAAATGAGGTTGCTTGTCAAATACAACAATCTTTAAAGGTCTTTTCGACACTCCAAAAACTTGAGCAAATCGAACGACATTCGACGTTCATTTTCAATACTCAGGGAACTCGAACCCATCGAGCAAAAAGGTATGCATCGAAATCAACCGACTGTAATGCTGATGGGTTGATGGATAAATCATGAACCTTTGAGTCACAAATCCAGCTTTCAATTTTGATAAGGTTTAATTTTAGGAGATGGTTTCCTGCTCACTAGCGATAAGATCAGCAAAAGAGTAGTATGAATCATTCCGCAAATATGTACTGGTGGTTACCCATATTGATAATGACAATATCCATGTCAAGTGATAGAAGTAAACTGACCGAGGCATAATTTCAATCGATTAAACATGTCAGGGTTAATCTCCAGTAAGGCTTGTAAGGAATAGTCGATTGAAATATTAAACAATCAATCATTTTTTTTTTCTTTTGAAATATGTTAGTAATCTGTTAAATAAAAGGAAAGAAATACTCGGAGAGCTGAGTGTTCTACAAAATGACAACCAAAAAGTGTTAAGACGTTTGGTCACACCAAAGACAACCAAAAAGTGTTACGGTGCATGGTCTTCCTAAAGATGACCAAAATGTGTTACGACACTTAGTCGCACCAAAGACAACAAGAAAGCATTGTTTGGTCTCCTTAAAAATGATCAAAAAGCGTTATGATGCTTGTTCGCACCGCATGTTTCCTTTTTTTTTTTAATTTTTGAACTAGTTGTGAGTTTGTCCATTATTATGTTTTTTTTTTTTTAAATTTTTGAACTAGTTGTGAGTTTGTCCATTATTAAATATTTCCCATTTTTGAATAAGTCACTTTTCTGAATCATATGAATAATCAGGAAAAGGGAGGAACCGAAAAATCGGACATTCGACCGGACATTCGACAAAGGCAGACACACAAGAGAAAGAATATGGAGAACTTTCATGCGACAAACCTCACGAGAATAAGTCAAGCATGTATGCCCAAATAAGATCAGATCAAAATAGATGGTGCCAAATATCCTGAACGAATGACTATGAAACTTCCCACAACCATAGATTCAGGTGCATTTGCCTGTTCTGGGATTTAGAGTGCTCCCAAGGAGATGTATCTAGTTTGGTTAATTACATCTTGGGAGTTGCCCAAGATTACTCTTGATCCAATAAGTTCTGCCTACAAATAAGTGAAGACTAGCAAGGTTTATCAAAGGATGGTTACTTTCATAGGAAACATCCCAAGGCTTTCTAAGCTCTCGCTAAGTCACAGGGCAGAGAGTAAGTCTCTCACGGTCTCAAATGGTTAACGACTCATAGATAATCACGACTCATGAAACAACCAGGGCATCTAGTAGGAAACATCTCACTACTTTAAAGCCAAACCGGGTCATAAGGGCAGAGGACAAATCATTGTATCCCAAACAGGTGACAACTCTTTGGCATCCACCAAACAACAAGAAAGCTTAAAATTTTCCTAATGAAAGGTCTTACACCCAATCTGGGTCGGGGAGCCTTCTAACGACCTATGCATTCTAGACAACCTACCATGTAAGAAGATATGTCAGGCTAGTCAGTATGGAGGTACCCAGTCGTGAAAGTAATCAACCCAAAACGTCCAGAGATCCCGTTCAACAATTCATGAATTGCGTCGTCCGCGGGGATCTCAGTAACCCTAAGATTAAAGAAGCAAAACTCTATCCTATGACTATCAGGTGGAGCTCCAATAGGTGAGACATATACTTGCCGAACTGGTGAGGAAAGAAGAGAAATGGAGATCCAGCTACAAAGCTTAAAATTTTCCCAATGAAAGGTCTTACACCCAATCTGGGTCGGGGAGCCTTCTAACGACCTATGCATTCTAGACAACCTACCATGTAAGAAGATATGTCAGGCTAGTCAGTATGGAGGAGTATGAGGACTCCTCGTTTGGTGTATGCAAGTGATGCAATTATCTAGAGCGGTCATTAGATTTTGTGGAGGCCCTATTAGACATGATGGGGTGTATAGCTAGCATGCAATCCATTTAAAATCTAGCATGAAGGCCATGCAAGAAAATAAAGGAAAGTTTTAAAAATTTTGACAATTTTAATCCTAAATTTTTTATTATCTCAATCTTTTATTATTAAGATTTTTTAAAGATTTAACATTTTAGGTTCTAGGGAGCCAAAGTTATATTTAGCAATATCCTAGAAAAACCAGCAATAAGAAACGCTACAAAGAAAGGGAACAACCTCAAACATGCAAACATGCAATAGAAAGTAAAAACATACCAATATACTGACCCGCAAACTT